CCCGAAGCTCCTGTCTGTCCACAGGCTACTGGGAGGTGAATGGATTTGGGCTGCTCGGCATCTACAAGTCTGACCTGGACAGGATTGGGGGCATGAACACCAAGGAGTTCCGTGACCGCTGGGGAGGGGAAGACTGGGAGCTGCTGGACAGGTGACTGGGAAGAGGGGGGGCGTCCCCGGGGCCTGGGAATTCCATCCCTTCATGCGCTCGGGCAGGGAGCTGGGCTAGAGCAGCCCAGCTGTTCCCTGGCTGCAGAATCCAGTGTGCAGTAAAGAGCACTGGACTCAGGGGATGCCCTCAAACCACTGGCCGCGCTGGGACTCAGTTTCTCTATTAGAGGGGTGTGATTTGGCCTCTGTCTGTATCACAGGGCTGGGGTGAAAATTAACATACCTGGTACACCGTGTCCCAGGTGCACAAGCTGTGTAGACATAAACCATAATGTTCTCAGCACCCAGCAGGGCGCTGCAGGAGAGACTGCATCCTCCGCAGCTGGAGGGGAGCGCGCCTCCCTCAGCTCTGAGCGAGGAGCCGAGTTGTGGGAATGGATGAGGAGACCTGGCAAAGGTCAAGAAAGACTTTGGGGCCAGCACAAGAGACAGTGTGGACCACTAAAGGGCAGGAAGATACCCAGGAGGTTCTGGGTCCTGAGACACCAAGGGACCCGGGGGTCTGGAGCAGGGGGAAAGGGTCAACGAGATGAACACCTCAGAGGAGAACACAGGACGAGCTGCGGCCTTGGCAGGTGGACGCAGAGAGCAAGGTTGGGTGGGGACACAGGCCGTGGGGCAGCACAGCACGTGGGTGGTGAGGAGGCGGAGGCTGTTCTGCGTGAGGTTCCTCTTTCAAGAAGTGTGCTGCCAAGGGAAGGGTGGGGAGAGAACGCCAGCTTGCGATCCGAGCCTGTGGGGAAGGAGCAAAGGAGAGGGGAGGGTGCCCTTCAGAAGGAAGGGTGTAAGTGCTGGAACAGCGTTCACAGGAGGTGGACAGGGCAAGGTCAGGAGCACTGGAGGCGGGGACCTGGACGTGAAGGCGTTCACTTCCTCCCGAGAGGCAGGACAAGGTGCATCCACCAGTCACTGGGGCCTGCACTTGGCAGGGGGTCCGTATCTGTCACCCTGTTGATTCCTCCCTGACCTCAGTGGGGTAAGCGTCATGATCTCCGTTTTCCAGATGAGAAGACTGAGTCTTGAAGAGAAGTTATAACTTGCCCCAAATCTCACTCACTAAAGTATCAGAGGCTTAAAAACTAGGTCTATTGATGTGTTTTTCCCGTTGAGGGACGAAAGAAAAGGAAGGTGATACACTAAGAGAATCTGAAGTGAAAAGGGTAACATTAAGGGAACTTAGATAACTGGGATCTCATAAAAAGGATCTTAGATCAAAGGATCCCCCGAGGCAGCTGGAAGCCTTGATTTGGGAACCCCGGCCCAGCAGTCACCTCTGCCTTGACCTTCGTGCTGGGCTTTTGCTGCAGTGTGTGGCTCCCGTACAGCCCTGAACCTCCTGCCTCCTCAGCAGCTCAGGGACCCAGTTCGGCTCCTCTCGGCCTTGCCAGAAGTGCAGGCCCCCCTGGAGAGGAACACCCTGCAGGCTGTGCATGCAGAAAAGGCAGGGGGAGGGCCTGGGCTCTGGGTGTCCCAGTGTAGCCCTGCCTCCCTCCATCTGTGACCTATCTCCTGGAGGCTGGGCACCAGTTATGGGGCTTGCGAAGTATGCCAGGAGTTGTGCTGATTCCTCAGCCTCCATCCTTCTTGGTCTTCACCACCTCTGATGTAGGATGTGTATGTAGGATGTCTACTCTAACGACAGATAGAATTCTGTATCATACGTTGTCCTCATTACACATATGTGATAATCGTCACACGGGCTCTGAAAGAAGGCATGACACGCAGTCATGGAGCTGGGATCCAAAGCCAGTCTGCCCAGCTTCAAAGCCCACACCCTTCCACTCCACCCAACTTCCCTGCCCCGTGGGGAGCAAGTGGAGGGTCTGTGGGAGATGCAGAGGGGCTCCCCAGCCACCTCCTGTTTCTGTTGGCTCATCCAGCTCCTCCTCCTTCAGGATCCTCCAAGCGGGCCTGGAAGTGGAGCGTCTCTCCCTCAGGAATTTCTTCCATCACTTCCATTCCAAGCGAGGCATGTGGAGCCGCCGCCAGATGAAGATGCTGTAGCTGCAGGGTGTCCGCTGGACCCAGCACTCCCTGCTCCTTGACTAGCAGCAGATCCCCAGGGCCCGGCTGCTGTTCGGGGATGGGGAGTGGTCCCCAGGAAGCCTTGAAGCTGACAGCCCACCTCATCTGGAGCTGTCCCCTCACAGAGGCGGGTGCCAGGGCTCCTCTCTCTATCCCCTGGGCCTTCAGAAGGGAGGACTTTGAGAGAGAGGCCAGGAGAGGCCACTTGTTCAGTGAAGAACGGGGACAGCTCCTGAGAAGGACGAGTCAGGAAGGAGAGAACGGCTGACACCATCCTTATCCGTGAAGGTGCATGCCCACACCACCAGGCGCGCCTCACGCCAAGTGCTGACCACCAACCGGACACTCTTCTAGTGGACATATTTTATTGGGGGAGTGGGGATTTTTAGAACAGAAAACCAAAACTGCTGTCCAGAGGGCAGTGAGGTTGTGCATTGAGGGACTGTCCCCACATGCAGACGTCCCACCCACTCCTATGTCCCTTGGGCAGTGTCCCTTGCCTCGGGGATGGTCCCACGTGGGGCAGTTCTCTGCTCCACCCCAGGCTCGTGCCTTCCAGAGACACATCTTCCAGTAGCCACCAAACGGCTGGCCACCGATTAGGGCATTAACCTTCTCCTCCAGATGGCTCACTTCAGACCAGAAGCACAGAAGGGGTTGTTCCTGGGGCTCAGGCATTAGGAGGTGAGGAGCTGGGCAGTGGGCTTGCCACTCCCCGTCACTGGAGACTCAGGCCTGCAGAACAGGCAAGGTGATGAAGGCGGGGGAGAGAAGCCTGTCCCCTTCCTGGCCTGCCTGTGGGAAGGAGAGGGAAACAGGATGTGGCCATATCTGTCAATTTCCTTAGACGAGAGAGGGATGGAGTCTGGGCAGAAAGAGATGAAAGGGAAAGTGGAAGCTGTGAGCCTCACACCCAGCTCCCCTGCAGACCTGTCCTTCTATAGAGAGAGCCCTGGCTGCCTCACCTTGCGTGGAAGAAGAGGAAGTTGTGTATGGGGGTGAAACCCTGGAGCAGGGACCAGGGAGCAGAATAAGAAGGGGGCAGGAGAGGTTTGGGGAAGGTGAGAACATTCCCCTGAGAAATCCCCTGGAAACATGGAGAGGGGTGGGGGCAGGAGGAACTGAAGAGTGGAGCGGTTTCAGGGAAAATAGTCCTTGGCCTTTTTAGTCTACGCCACCCTTTCTGTCACCTGGTGACCTTGTACTTTTCTTGCACTAATAACCCCCGGTGCTTTTGTGACTGGGGGTTTTTCTATTGCTGCTGCTGCCTCCGCTGCTGCTGTGAATTCACCCATGGTGCATCCGGACATTGCATCGTGAATTCCAGAGTCTGTTTAGGGAGGTGCGCACAGGGCGTGGGGGAGGTACGGGGGGACCCAGAAGAGCAGGCCACTGAGTCCACGCTCCAGGCTGTGACAGGCCAAACCACAGCACTGGAGACGGAGGGTCTGCCTGGCGGGCTCTGCATTCCCCAAGAGCACAGGCTTGACACACGGGAGAGTAGAGCCCGTGGAGAACCTTCTGGGGACCAGGGAGAATCCCTGCCTCCCTATAAGGAATTATGAAGGACAAAGACTTTTGAGTTAACAGGCTGTGGCTTAGGAAAGCCAAACCTGCTCCGTGAGCTGTGGCTTCTGGTCCCTGCTGAAGCCGACTGTCCCCTGGAGAAGGATCACGGGGCCTAGGCTAGGGCTGCAGTTGGCCAGTGGGGCTGCCAGTTTCTTTCTGGGACCACTCTCATCTTTGGGCATTGCACTGGAAGGATGGAACCAGCCCAAACTGCCCGCCTGCTTCACTTACAATGAGTAGGAGCCAGCCCAGCCTCTTGCCCTGCCCACCACCCCTGCGCCCTGGGCCAGTGCCTTGAGTTTGATGTTTGTTACCTCCATACCATCTGCCTTAAGGGGAAGGGCCGGGCATGGCCCCTACTCCCTAGGGAAATGTCTTGGGTTGGGTGGGTGTGGGATGGTGGGAGGGGAAGCATTAAATACAGCAACTTCCTAGAAAAAAAAAAGTGTTTGTCTTTTCCTGCTGCTCTTCATGGACGTAGAGGATTGGGCTGAGGGGTCCAGGCAGGCATGCCAAGGACCCTCCCACACCACCCTCCGCCTTTCCCAAGAGTGTGGTGTCTGCTGTGTGTGGAATGGCCTTCTCTGCACCGTGGTTTACTCAGGAAGAAGACAGCATTGTTCCTGTCTGAGCAGCTCACTGTGTAATAGACTAGGCGTTTTCTGTTCAGCAGATTAATGGAGGCTGATGGTTTTAGCTGAGAAAGGCTATTGGTACCCTGGGGGGGAAGGCTAGATATAGGGCCAGAATGGTTTGGTGAGCAGTGGAGAGAAGCCAAGGAGTAGCTACTTCTAACCTGGCAGACCGCCTAAAAATCATTTCTGTTTGGGCTGGTAATGCTTTGCTAATGCTTTACAGGTGCAGATTTACCTTGCTTGTTACATTTGGCCTAGGCAAAGATCAAAATGAGTTTGCAGTCCTTCAACACATGCCTAAGGGAAGCAGAGACTGTGAAAGCTAGAAGAGCTTACAGCAGGTTCGTGCAGAAGATTGAGCATATGTGCATCCATCTGCAACGGACCAGTCTACAGTTGATGGGGCAGATGACAATAAGCCCAAGGCATCTGGGCGAGGAACGTTGGCTTCGAGCAGAACCCATAGAAGAGGGAGTGATTTAAAAGCCTGCCCAGCCTGCAGGCCTGGGATTTGCTCTCTTGAGCCCTCTACTAGGCACAGCTGGAGACCAGCCTAGACGCCTGAGCCTTCCGGACTAGACAAATAAGTGGACTCCAGAGTGGACTTGAAGAAACCTTTATAGAAATAGATTCCATTTTACAGGAAGGAAAACAGGCCTGGAGCAGAAGGAAGCAGTAGGGTAGAGTCAGAACCAGAGTCCTTGAGCTGGGCAGACTTGGCCTTAGACAGACAGGCCCACCTTAGGTCTAGGAGATGCCGCCAGGAGGCATGGCGGGCAGCACCTGCATCTGAGCTCAGGCTCCAGACCAAGATGGAAGCCACTTAGACCAGTAACAAAAAATCATGTTTTAACTCTGTGGGTAGGGAGCAAGGGCAGCTACTCTGTCCTTTCAGAAGCTCTCCTGGGCTGTGGAAAGTGCCCATGAGCCCGGCAGATCAGGGAGGAAGGAGGCAGAAGGAGTTCCAAGCCCAGTTCCTGTCGGGAAGCAGAGAACAGGCAATGAGGAGGGCAGGCCAGAGCAGTGCCCCTCAACCCTCAGCGTGCCCAGGATGCACCTGGCCACCTTACTCATGCATATGCCTGCAGCCCATCTGGAGCAGAGCCTGAGATTCTGCATTTCCAGCAAGCTCCCGAGTGGTCTGTGGATGCTCTTGGCCCTTGGACCACAGTCTGAGTAGCAAGGGCTGCTAGACAATGCCAGAGAGAAATTCCCCATCTCCAGCTTTCCTCTTGCCAAAGGGGCAGAGTCAACAACAGCATCGCCTCCACCCGGTCCCAGACCATGGGAAACCCTGAGTCCAAGAACCGAGAGCCACCCATTAACACAGCAATGGGGCTCTGTGCAGGCCTCGCTGAGGACAGGCTCCTGCAGATCCCCTCCTTGCCTTGGAGCTACAGGATCTGTCTCTTGCCCCAAAGCCCCAGAGGAGAGAGAAGGGCCACCTGGGGAACCCCTGGAGCTGGGGTTTCCCCATCCTCTCTCACCTGGATCCCAGGCGGTATTCAGAGAGGACTCCTTGAGGCCCTGGCAGCCAGGAACCCTGTCTTTTGTGCCCCGAAGGCTGTAATGAAAACGTTGATGACCACAGTGAGGAAGATCAAGGCGGTGGCTGCGTTGTTGAGATGGTTGAGTTGCCACTGCTTTTCCACCTCATTCAGGTTCAGCCGTGCTGCCGGGGAGTGGAGCGGGGGAAAGGGTCAGAGATGGGGCCACAGCCCAGAGCTACCCCCACAACACCCACCAGAGTTTGGAGAGAGGGGCCCTTCAGAGACCCATGTGGCAGAAATCAAGGGAGGTGGTCGTCATTGAGCTGAAATGCCTCTGCCCACACAGGTGCCAAGGCAGAAGGCCTGACTGCAGGCTGGGCTCCTCACCAATGACCACGAGCAGTATGCCGATGACCACCTGCAGGAGCAGAGAGAGGCTGATGAGGGTGACCAGGGTGGCATAGTAGTGAGATGATGGCCCCTGCTCCAGCACCGCCTTCAGCCGCATGGCGTTGGACATGAACAGGGCCACGTCCAGCATGCTCTCCGCCACACTCTTCTTGGTGGCGTAGTGGTTCAGGTTGATGGGCTGGCTCCTCCTGGGGTCAGAGCTCCCAGGCTGTAGGGGAGAAAGCACAGACTTACCAAGGGAGACTCTGGAAGGGAAGCAGTTGAGAGGTGGGAGAAAAGAGAAGTTTTAAAGCCCTTCCCAAACCAGACGGGAAGCTCAGGACAAGCAACGCCCTTTCAGTTTCATGCCCTGATAAAATTAAAGGTTGGACTAGAAAACCCGTAAGGACCTCTGCACTCTGAAATGGTGTTCTATTGCAGTTGATATTTCCTGGAGGGTCGCCCCGTCTCTCGCACCCTCTCCTGTCCAGCTGGAGAAAGTGAAAAGGCTGGTAAAATGCACCTTCCTCGTTCTATTCACTATTTTACCTGGGCCAGTCCTCAGCTTTGGGCTGTTTTATTTTCCTCTGAGAGGAAAACACTTGAGAAGACAATAGAAGGAGCTTGGAGGCTTGGGTGAAATAAAGGAAGCATCCTCCTCCCCCAGAATGCCATGGTCCCAAGGCAGAGTGCACAGCTCAGCAACTGAACACAGCTGCATTCCCAACCCTCAGGAGCACTGGAGTTGCCGCCCTGCTCAGGCACACACGCTGTCAGACAGGCTGTCAGGATACACATCCAAGCATGCCATGAGTGTGAACACACATTAATGCATACTAGCTAAACACTCTTCATTCATTTGAACTATGACTTGTGGCTAGGATTTATTGAAGCATAGTTTACATTTGATCTGATTTTGAAGTGTAACACTTCTCAAGAAGCCACTAACTCCAAAAGACAGAATCAGAATACAGAGCATATGCTGTGGGCCTCTGGGGTGGGCCAAGAAATTCAGTCTGGGCCCCATGGCCAAGGGCAATCTGCAGTCACTCAAGAGACCTTGGGAGATCGATTTAGCAATGGTGCTTGGAATAGATTGGGCCAGCAAGGGCTGGAAGCAGGGGGAGTCATTTAAAAGTTATAGTCTGGATTTAGGATCACAGTGAAAAGGAACTGAAGTGGAGCGAGGTGAGAAAGCCAAGGAAAGGAGGACTTTGAAAGATGCTACAGCCTGGAGGTAAGGAAGGTGACCCAGCAGATCACCACCACGGGACAGGTGCCTGCTGGGTGTGGACAGATGGATGCATGCATAGATATGCACAGTGATGCATACTAGTTAAACACTCTTAGTTTTTAATTTTTTGGCTAGGATGTGTTGAAACATAATTTACATTTGATTTTCTTTTGAAGTATAAAATAAACCTTCGCAGATAAATGGATGGATGGATGGATGAATGGGTGGATGGATGGATGGATAGATGGATGGATGGAGGTGTGGATGATTGGATGGGCAGGTCTCAGAGGGTCTGGAATGTTCCTTGTACTTCGTGCAACCCCAGCAAGTCACTTAACTTCTCTGTATCCCAGGGATTTACGCAGAGGACAGTCGATTTACACACAGGCTAACTGATTAGGCTGTCTATCAGAAACTTTGGATTCTATACGCTCTTAAGATACCCTGAAATGAGAATGGGCACCGTGGCTCATGCCTCTAATTCCAGCACTTTGAGAGGCCAAGGCAAGCAGATCACTTGAGGTCCGGAGTTTGAGATCAGCCTGGCCAACATGGCAAAATCCTGTCTCTACTACAAATACAATAAAATTAGCAGGTCATGGTGGCACACGCCTCTAATCCCAGCTACTCAGGAGGCTGAGTCAGAAGAATCACTTGAACTGGGAGGTGGAGGTTGCAGTGTTTTGGCCATGCATCCTCAATATATATACACTCTTCCATTATCAATTATACATATTTTATTGGACTAATATATATAGTAAAACATCCAAAAGTAGAAACATTTGAAAGGATTACATAAAAATCAATATAAATAGGAGTTCAATTTTCTTATCCTAAAATATGGTCTTGGGCACCCGTCTTTGGAGACCCAGCTCTAATCCGCATGCCTGGCTACAGATTGGACCAACCCTCTCCTAGGCCAGCAGAATGGGACCCCTGTTCCCCAGTCCTTCTCCTAAAGTTTGCCTTCAAAGCTCAGCCCCATGTCTCCACCCTGCTCTTCTCGCTTCCTTTCCGAGCTCCTGGCCCCTGCTCCATTTGCCAGGAGGGTGCACACGCACAGACACAGCCAAGAGGTGCAGGGTCGTGGGTGCTAACAGCGCCTGCTCTGAGACGGAATCGGCCCCGGCAGCCTGTGTCCCTCAGACTGCCTGCCTCGGACTCTGTGGGCCATCACTGGAGGATCAAACACAGAGAAGTGGCTCTTCCGCTTTGACCACAGTGCAGGCCATCAGCTTTCTACACTGGGCAGTTCCCTGCACCTGGATTGTTCATGATCAAATTCTGAGTGTCCTCAACTTCTGGTCAGGGAGGATTCACAGAGGGCAATCAAGAGTGTACACTTTGGCCCACGGAGCAATTTAAGTGCTTTCCGTGGAAGATGAGAGTGGAGAGCAGTAGGTAGCTTTCATTCGGTAGATTGAATGTACATGTCTGGCGGTTGGGGCTGTGAGGACACCAATGCCGAATAAGGCATAGCTGCTGCCCCTCCCTGGAATCCCTGGTGAGCACTGTCCCAATGGGCCACAGGCTGCTCACAACAGGCGCTGGCAAGCTCTTTTTCACAGCCACCAAAATCAGGCTGGGAGCCGGGGCCCAGAGAAAGAAGGAAAAAGGCTGTGGTCACGGAAGGAATGGAGTGCTCACTACCTCTCCCCGCCTTCATTCGTGTTTGATTTTGCTGGGGCCTGGCTTTCAGTTTGTGCTGGAGGCAGCCAGCGAGGATGGAGAAGGTAGGGACAGAGGGTGAGTGAGGACCTTCGTGGACTTAGGAGGCCACACAGTGTTCAGGGCCTTTGGAAATGCAGTTTAAGCAAGGCTGGCTTGTCTAGGGCCAGCTGGCCTGGTTGTTTAGGGCCAGGGATCTCAGAGCCAACGCCCCACAAAGGCCCATGGTCACTGTCAGCCCCAAGGCTGCAGCAGCCTGTGGTCATAGCCCATTTGGTGACGGTTTGTCCTTGGTCTCCAGGAGCACTCATTAGGCAAGAGAGTCTCACCTCCTACCCCCAAATTCAAAGTGCTTCTGCCCAGGCTCAGCTGTGCTCCCTGGCCTCCCTGCCCCAAGGCTGTGCACCCCTCCTCTCCCTCCCCCATTCTCCAGTTTGTCCAGTAGCTGCAAGCTTTGCACTTTCTCCTCCTTCCATCCTCAGCTTTCAGTTCAAGATCTGATGTACTGGTCTAGCTTCCAGAGAAACAGGCTCCGTTCCCTGAAAATTTGTTAACAGTGGACAGAACCGTAAACCCAGACCTCCAGTGGTATGTTTTGAGCACTGACCAAATAGCGGGGGAAGGGGTGGCCGTGGGTGGAAGGGGAGAATACTTGGGGAATTCGGCGGTCTTCCCAAGCCTCTATGAAAAGTATTGCTATGTAAATTTTAAGAGAGCTGGTTGGCTTTTGTTGTTAATTTAGAGCCATCGTTTCACAGAGGATGTGGGACAGTCAGTGCGCTTAGCGGGGTGCCCTCATCCTTTCCTCTCTAAATGCAGGGCCGATTCAGGACGGCCTTGAACTGCGGGTGCTGGGCGGGATCTCTGCAGGGCGTCCTCGCAGGCGCCGGCTCTCCAGAGCGTCCACACGGTGGCGCGCAGGGTCCGGAGAAGGGCCTCGGGCACCGCAGCTGCAGGATGGCGTTTCCACCCCGAGGGACCCAAGCGCAGGACGGGATTGGTGTGAAACCTGGACCCCTCCGAGGCCAGGACCGGGAGCCTGGCCCACAAATCTGGATGGGCCGACCTAAAACCCACCAAACACGTGTGTCAAGTCAGAGGAGTTCGAGAATCAACCGAAGCTGAAATGGGGCCAGCGTGGGGCGGGGAGGCGGAGAGGGGAGGGGCCTCCGGCACAACCTGCAGCCCAGCGGACCGCGGAGGGAAAGGCCGGCAGTGGGGCCCTGGTCGAAGGTGCCTGGAAAGGGGTCCCCTCGGTGCGACATCTTTAAAAGCAGGGAAAGGTTTCTTAATCCTTGTGGACAGTTTAGGTGCAGCCCTGCTCAGGGGCAGGGGGATGGAGGAAATGGCCTGCGGGCTCCCTTATACAGACAAAGCCCTAAATCCTGCAGGGGGGAATCCTTGTCGCCCACAGCCCACGGACTGGGAGCAACCCCACAGGGGTCAGATGATGGAGGACTGGGGAGCGCAGTAGGGTGGCCCCGGGTCCTGCTCAGAGGAGCTGGCACTTTAAGGCCAGGCCCAGGCGGGTCCAGAACAGAGACCCGGGAATGTGGGAAGGACCGTGGAGCACAGCCTCCTAGCATGAGTCATTCCCGTTTCACCGGACTCTTCACCGCCGGCTTTCGCTTGCCGCCCTCCCCTTGCCCTGGCCCTGACCCTGGCTTCTGCGCCCTCCCTGCAGAGCTGGCCCGGGTGCGCTGGCGGCCTCCACCCGCCACAAGCACGCAGCGCTCTGCCCGCTCCCGGCCCTTTTGAGTTGATCCTGGAAGAGCAGGGGACGGCAGGCTGGGACTCCCGATTTCTAGGACCAGCTCTGCCTCTGGGCTTGGCACTTTGGTGGTCACTTTCCACACCTGTAAAACTGGAGGAAAATCCCATCTCTGGAGGGCAGAGGCCATGGACAGACAGAACGACTCTGCTCCTCCACAGAAGAAAGGACAGAATCCAAGCGGTTCCCATGTTCCCAGCCTGAGATCCCTCTCTCAATGAGGCTGGCTCAGCGTCTTACTCAGGTCTCATTCTGCCCCGCCCCGCTCGCCCCGCCCCTGCCACTCACGGGCGGCAGGACACTGCTCAAGACTCATTGCTCTGGGTTCCCAGAGTCCTTGTTCAAGGCGTGGTTGCCTAGGGAAAGGCTGCCCATCAAAATCCGGCCAACCAATGACACCCGGACAGACGGGGAATTTGGGACGGCATGAAGCTGGAGCCGGACGGGTACAAGGGGGTGGGTGGAGATCCAGAGCCTGATCTGCGCAGCTCTAGGCCTTTGGCCACAAGAGGACGTGGGTTTGGTGATTGGCAGGGGATGAGGCAGGGGATGGGGG